CTGTTTCTAGAAGTTTTAGACATCACTTGAGCTACTGCAAGTTTGATGTCAATGTGTCTCTGTGAGAAAACTTCCAGGAGGTTTTGTGTTTGGATGGAATTGGGATTTGTACAAGTAGCTGCAAGAGAATTCAGTTGGGAAGAATTAGTAAGTGCTTGTCATCTTCGAGGCCAGAGGAGCCCAAAAACCAGCCCATCCTCTGCAGTGTTAATTAGCTCTCAATAATCAGCATAAAAGTGATTTGTACAAAGCTGATTAAACCTGGATACTTAGGAAGTGTCCTGTGTTCCCAACACCAGCCTCATCCAGCAGGACTACAACACCACCTCCAAGAAATGCAGTTTTCTCCTCCTGAATCCAAACTGATGGAACCAGAGAGGTCTTTCTCTCTAATAAAAACCTGAGGGCTTCTAGGGGCACTTTTTGCTCTTCAGTGTCTTTTTTCACCCCCCTCAACTGCACTGTCCTTTGAGAGCTTTTTAAGCTCTTTCTGGTTTAAGCCTTTCATCTCTCAGGGCCCTGCTCAGACCCTTCTCCGTGAGGGCAGCTGAGCCCACAGACCTGGGAAGGTCCCTGTTGAAACAGCTCCTGAGGGTTCTGAGGATAATTAGCACAAAACCAAATGTTTTCCATGTAGAAGGATCCATCAGCAGTGCAGGAACAAGCAACAGCTCCCAGTGCTGAGTTGTTGAGAGGCTGAGTCCTGCCTGAGGACAAAGCCAGGCTCAAAGGTGTCCTGGAGTATAAGAGTGGGAATTACCCCATGGAACATGATACTGGAGCACAGCCTCACAAAACCAGGCCAGCAATCAATTAATCAAACCTCATCTATATTTTGCTGCTAACTGGCTTTTCTTCTTTGCATGATGATGGAAGATACCAAGTACAGAAAGGGAGGAAACCTTCCCAAAGCACGTGTGACAGGAACAGACTGAAGGGGAAGGAGGGAGGAGAAATTATCTTTTCAAGGCTGTGAGATATTCATGAGGTTCTACCTTGTAACTCCACTTGATGCCTTCCATGTCCCCATAATAAATGCTAATTCATTCAAGTCTTCCTGATACAAAAGGAGGAAAAAAATTAATTCCCAAATATAATTTAAATATAAAACTATGTCACGACAATAACAACAACAAAAAACCCCAATCAACAAACAACACAGCTTTTCTTGGAAACTTTCTTGCAATCCTCTAGAGGAAATAACACATATGCAAAGCCTCTGACTTTATGAGGCAGAACTTCAAACAATGCTGTCTTAGAATGGGCTTTGGTATCTTTTTTTGCAGGGTAATTTTGGCAATGATTATTAGAGGACTCAGAAGTCAGGAGATTTTATTTCCTTTCCCGGTTTGGGAATTTGTAAAGTAGTTTTTCCTCCATCACTGGTTTCTTCCAGCTCAGCCCAAGACCATAAACAAAGCAGACACTCTATGGATTCTTCCTTGCCAGTGGATCCAACTGCTCTGGGTCCAAGGGAAAGCAGCTTGGAATGGAAACACCTCAGTAAATTCATGGATAGATGCCAACTGCAGAGAAGGAACTGTGCAAGACTGAGTCAAAATATGACTCTTCCCACCTACATTAAATGCTTTCCTTCAGGGGTCAGCTGAGTAGACATCTTGCCCTGCAAAGCAGGACTTCTCTTCCAAGTTATTGCTTCTGAATAATTCATACTTCAACTTTGCTCTAGATTCATTAATATTCCTTCTCATGTTCATTTCAAAATTAAAAAGCAAATTAAAAAAGAAAAAAACAAAAAGATGATGTTAAACTAAAAACAGTCTTTTAGTCTATGGAGTAGGGTAATGGCAGCTATGTAGTAGCTTAATAGTAGGTTAATAAAGAATAAATATAACACATAAAAAGATAAAATAAAGGATAAATGTAATACAGGTGTTTCCTAGTTGAATCTTTTTAGGTACCATCTGTATCTTCTAAAGGAATTATCACTTAAAAGTCAAGTAAATGTTTGAGGCACCAAGGTATAAGTTCTTCCACTTTGGTTTATCAAAATTTCTGCACGTAGATAAACAGCAGAAAGTTCAGAGTTTATCACCAGAACCAGGTTCTCGTTTCAGAGATCACATTTCTCACGGTGCAGTTCGATGCCAAAAAAAGCCAGAAAGCAAACAAAAGAAGCTGAACAGAACCTGAACCGACTGCAGCTTAGGGAGGTAAATGAAAATATTTTGTAACTCAGCACCTACATCACAGGGCAGATTTTTCCAAGCTCTGGCAGACACTGTGTCTTCCAGTGGAGCACACGTGCCTGAGCAAGGACAGGAACGGGGACAGAGCTGCCTTGCCCTCATCTGAGAGCACAGTGGCCCCAGAACTGTGTGGTTTGCATTACAGCCAGATAAAAAAAGAGAAGGGAATGGCCAAGCACTAGTTAGTAATGATTCCTGCCTCACCTGCCCCTGTACTGGGAACTGGAGCAGATCTGTGCAGGTCATCCTGGTCATCCTGCATAATGTGGGTGCCCTGGAACCCCTGTGAGGCCACTAAGCCCAAACCAATTTAACACAGAATTTAAAGAAGTAAAATCAACTTAAAGTAAAATGCAGTTATAAAGACTAATCAAGTGCCAAGGTGTGTGTGAAGGATGTGCAAACCAATGTACCAAGATTAAATATGGATCATCTCTCCCCTTCCCTTGACCCAGCTCAGGTACAACTGCAGCAGGACTCCTGGGGCCAGACAAAGCAAGACACCAAAATGTGTGGGATGGGAAAAGACTACGAGGCACAGGACAGCAAGACAGACAAGGCAGGGAACAGCAGGAACCTCCACACTTACAGCCTCAACCTCCCCTGTCTCCTGGCTGGAGGAAGCAGGACAGAGAGTGTGTCCTGCAAGGAGCCAAGTCACGACCTGAATGTCCATGTTTAACATTATTTTAATGCCATCTTAATGTCCAAGTTAACCAGGGGGGGTAATACCTCGTGATTCAACTGGTTCTTCCTTTTTCTATTCTTAAACATATGAATCAAAGGTCATACAGCAATTGAGAAATTCCCCTTTCTGTTGCCCCCCCAGCAGAGAGGCACATCTCCATCATACCTGGAGGGAAAGGGTGCCAGCACTGTCTTGCACCAAGAAATGATCAAGTTCTCACCTCATTTGGTGATTCACTGTGCACTCTGAGCATGAAATGAGCCTTACACTCACCTTTATCCCTATTTAAGGATATACCAACATATACACTTAGTAAAGCACCTGCATGAGATAAACCCCCACTGCTCTTCAGTGCCTCCTGATCAAAACCTGACCACAAACCCATAAAATCTTCCCAGGGACGAGTGACTAATGCTTCCTCTTCCAAAAAAAAAATATTTCTCCTAAGGTTTATAACAACCCTGCATGGAATAACATGTCAAGTCCCTTCCCAGAAGTGCTTCTTTGGGATATTCTGAGAGTGAAACACAGACAGATCAGGAAAAGCAATTCCACAATTTACCAAATTTCAGTGACACTCAGCCTTTGCACCGAGGGATTAGTTTGCCACTGGATCAAAGCTGGGATTTCACCACGTGGATCTTACCCTGGTTTTCTTTTGCTTAACACACAAAAGGCAGCCTAAAGCACACAGGACCTTCCTATGACAGTTCTTAATTGTGTCCACAGAAACAGAGGGCAGTTGCTTGCCAAACAAACACATCAAACTTGCCAAAACTCCAGAGGACTTACAGGATCAGTGAGTTCAGGCAGGCTGGCTTGGTAGGTGAGGGGTCTGCAGTCACGGGTGTTGTTCACCAGGACACAGGGGAGAAACATTGGTCCCAAATCGTCCCCATCCAGCACATCCACTGTCAGGGTGGTTGTACTTGTCCTTCTCTCATTCAGATTTTGGGCTCGGTCCTGTGGAGCAAATGGGGAGACTTTCTGAAGTCAGCACCTACTAAAAAGTTTGAAGCAAAGCTAAGGACAAAACACAGTTATCCACATTCCTGCTAATATTACAGGAACTTCAGCCTCAGAGGCTCGGGAATACAACTAGGAGGGAAAAGTTAAGAAATACTGCAAGACATCTGTCACTCAAAATAACAGAGGCTGGGAAATCTGGAGTACGAAATCTATAAAAATGCAGCAAATTTGTAAAAGATAAGAAGCCCCTTGTGCCTTATTGATAATGTGAAATTATGGGGTTTTACCCAGCAGGCAGCTGAACCCCACAGCACCAGGGGGATGGGGGAGAGGAGCAGTAAACAAGGTAAAACTCAGGGGCTGAGTTTGCCCACAAAATGAGTTATACTGCTTATGATTTAAAAGGTTCAAGAACACTTCTGTCCACAACAAAGCAGCTCCAATGCTGCATCCCCCAAAAGATCTCCACACTGCATGGCAGGTTCTCATCTCTGTTAGCATGGTTTGGCTTATTTTTATTTTTTTTTATTCTTTAGGTACACAAGACACTACTGACTATTGCAACTTCTCTACTGTCTCCTTTCTTTTCCTTCTAGACGGCACAGAATAAAGCCTGAAAGTTCCTGAATTGTGGGAACCACCCACATTAATTTTACACACTGAATGATGTGCACAGTAGTAAGAGCACCTCTTCTTTCTTCTTTTGTTATCACAGAGAGAGGACAGCATGACTAGCCATTATTTTTTTATTTTAATCAGTCAAAAGTATTTCCATTTTCATGGAGGGACTGTTGCATCAGCTTTTCTTTACAGACTTAAGGAAATATGGGCCATTAGCTGAGTCTTGCCCTCCTATTCTAATATAACATTAACAGAAAAGAAAAAAAAAAGGAATTTTAAATTAATTTTTTCTGTATTTATGCCATTTAATATGGCATAAATAATTAATATCTGTATAAAAGGAATAGGTCATTGCTCTAAATCAGATGGGATACATATTTTGGAATTTCTTGGAACAGCTTCACATTAATAGTAAATATGGGAATTTCTGCATTCAGTTTTCTTCAAGGTCAGTGATAAAAAACAATTCCAGCCACAAGGAGCAGCCTTCCTCAGCTAAACCATCCTTACATTCCCTCAGTATGTGCTTTTGAGTGATACTGGATCAAAGCAGCTCCAGAGGAATTAATTCCATGCAGTATCTTTGAGATGCAAGAACAACAAACTGCTGATACTGTGACCAGTGGAGCAGAAGTGTGATTGCACACCACAGACAACAGAGGGAATGAAATGCATCCTGTGGTGTTTTATAATC